TCTTTTTTGAGTATTAATACGCTTGTAGCGGTTAATATTGAAGTATTTTACTCAATGATAACACAAAGGTAGAGACAAGGGCCTCACATAACCTTCGAAAAATCATGAAAATTCAGCCAAAAATGATAGTAGAGCCGAAATCGTTTCGAGAAATATTCTGAAAACTTGCTACAGTCTCGTTTGATCAATGAATCAATATGGGATGTATGCAATACAATTGAAATGTTATTCAATCCGATTTCAGAACTTGTCTGTACGGTAGTTATGTCTTATTTGATTATGTAAATAGGAATCTGTCTAGCATTTAGTTAGGAACAGAAATGATCGAATGAAATTAAATCCCAAAGTGTTTAAAATATCTTTGGAATGTGTGATAGTCTTCGTGTGACTGCTTTTGTTGAGTATACCATCGGAGAAAATAGAGTTTATTAGTTTCACATAAACTCAATAATACTATTTTAAGAATGGCTCTCGAAATGATTTTCAAATTAGAATACAATTTATGAATAAGTTTAATTATGTTTGATATTGGATAGAAGACACTGAAAATATATTAGAAAAAACTCTTCACATAATCGAATTATTTTATACTGATTCGTCTAAAAGAACTATCGTCATCTGTTGAAAAACTCGGAGAAATCAGTCACGATCGTAACCAGCTAAAATGATCTTAGACAGATGTTGAATATCTGTCGTGGTCAATTGTGAGGTACATTAAAAAAGAGTTACGGTCTTTTAAGCAACTCGCATCAGATACTGATAGTTAGCCGAAAATCATATTGAATACTTGAAAAATCTTATTTACATAATGCGCAATGAGCGATTTTCCTGACATATGAATCATCATGTATCTGTTGTTGATGAATGTTTCACGATTGCAGACAAAGATGCGAAACGTCCACTTTTATTGTGTATAATAGAACAAAATAGTTATATGCTTTTTTTCTTTAAAGAACTTGTTGAGTGAAACATGACAGCAACATTGAATGAATTACTTGGCGAGCGATTATTCCAACACAACGAACCAAAAGAAGTACCGACCAGTCAACTCGATGGCAAAACTGTCGTACTCTATTTCTCGTGAGTTCATTATTATTCGTAAGTCAATTATCATATCGATTTTATTCCAGGGCCTGGTGGTGTCCATGTTGTTGCAAATTTACACCGAAACTGGCAGAAATCTTTAAGAAATTTCAGAACGATGTATCAGACAAATTGGACGTAGTCTTTATTTCTGACGATAAAAATGAAGATGAATTTTTTGAATACTTCAAAGCAATGCCATGGAAAGCAATGCCTTACTTGGGTGCGTGTGTAATATCTCGAAGTGGAAAGATCAGGAAAATAGCACTCTCGTGATATCACATTGCCTTCTGTGTATTTTTATCCTTCATGTTTCCTTTCACAGAGTAGACTGAATAGAAACGCAACAGGAAAGTCTTTTCTAAAGGTAGTATAATCATTCTGCATATATATTGTCTCTAAGAAATCAACACTCTTGCAAACTTGTTTATCGGTAAAAAGCCATGAATGACCTCATCTACTAATAGAACAAAAGAAAATGTCATATATAATTTTTTTTAAATATAGAACAAGCCTATTAGACAGAACATGTTTTTATAGTGTATTCAACAGAAATCAAGTGAGTGTTTATATATTGTTCGAGAAAAATCTATTTTATCTGATGAGGAACGGTCGATACTTTTGTTCGTGTTGATTTTCAAATTCTATTTCAAGATACAGACTATTACAAACGATAAACAATGAAAGCTAGAATAGGCCTAATTGTAATAGAAGAACACTTGTTTTTTTAGAAAGAATTCCGTTCTTTAGGTCGCGATTGGTATATAAAATTATGTGAGAAATTCAACATCAGAGGCATTCCATCGATAATCGTTCTGTCTCCATCATGTGATGTTCTCACTTCGGTTGGTTATGAAGAAGTACGCTCGGTAGGCATCGAAGCATTACACTTGTGGTGTCAAGGCAAGTCTCTTTTCTGGGAAAAGTCACCACGTGATGGTGAACCTGTCTGGGATGACATCGATTGCACTTATTGTCATATGCGTCCCTTGGTTGGTTCACGTTGTGGTTGTACTCGTGAAGAATGTTATTTTAATCTGTGTGAGACATGCATTTCGAAGAATGCACACGATCATCCTCTTGTCAAATATCTCTTTCCCAAACAGATATATTCATTGGAACAACTGTTTGCATCAGTGCCGTATTTACTTAGCTCCAATAAAGGAGACCGATTAGAAACAAAGATATTGTGGAAAGATGGTGTGAAAAGTTTTGGACTATACTTTTCAGCTCACTGGTGCCCACCTTGCCGTGAATTTACACCTAAATTGGCTCAGGCCTACAAAGAAGCTCAAGCGAGCGCTCATCCGTTTGAAATAGTGTTTATCTCATGTGATCGAGATGAAACATCATTTGATGAGTATCGTGCTGAGATGCCTTGGCCTGCTGCTCCTTTCAACTCAACAGCTGTACTCGACGCTTACTTTGATTGCAGAGGCGAGTGAACATTTTCATTTTTATTTTCATTGAATCTTGCCTCTTTTAGGCATTCCATCACTCATAGTTGTCTCGATTGATGGAAACATTTTGACTCGTAATGGTGACGCTTCAGTGTCGCGTAAAGGAGTTGAAGCCCTACAGACATGGGCCAATGGTAAAGTATTACCTCGTCCGTCGGTAGACGAGTTTGAATGGTTCTGTATTTCATGCGATGGATGCGGCATGGATCCGATCATTGGTCAACGGTATAATTGTTCAACATGTGGTAACTATGATCTCTGTTCGACTTGTGAAAAGAAAGGACATGAACATCTGCTCGAACTCATTCCACAACCGAACGTCGATGAGAATGATTGAAATCGCAATCACATATAAAAAACAAGGAAATCGAACTTCATATAATTAATTTGTGCTGTATCGAGTGTGTAGTTTCAGTATCATAGTAATAATAGAATTCATCGTGTGCGGAAATTTTTTTCCAACGTTATATTGATTACGATTCGTAATGATTCAACAAAGAAAAGAAAATGTTGTTTTCTATCATTCATGTCATTTTCTTATTTCGTTTATGAATGGTTTCTTGCGAACGGATTTTGTATTCGCCAGGGTGTGGGTGTGGGTGGGTATGCAAACGAAAGCATATCATCTACAGACACATCCTTCTCTATTCATCTCACCTTATTTGTATATTTGATTTTTCTTATTTTACATTTCTTCGTGCAGATCATGCATCACAATTAAAAAATTGTCAACTACTATATAAATAGATCAGTATATGAGAGGCTCTGCGTCCTATGATACATTAGACTGTTTTTTTTCATAACAAATTGAGTCTAGATAAGTATGTTAGCTAATCAAAATAAGTAAAATTATAAATAATTTGAAACATTCATTGGGTATCTTCCATTACGCTCTTCTATATTATTGTCAGTGACGAAATACGATTGACTAAAGATACAATTCATAAATGGATGAGATAGTTTAAGTGATTCGTCATGCATCTACGAATATTCGTGTACTCAACATTGAAAGTGATCACGAAAAATCTCGATCCATCTCGTATAGTTATGATGGATCTATAAAGAATAACTGCTTCTGTTAAAACATAGAAATTTTTCATATTGCATTTCGTTTTACTATTATTTTCATTGTACCAACAAAATCATTGAGTGATGCAGAACATTGGCGGGAAAATTTTTAGACTTGGATGATCAAACATCCACATTGCATGTATAAGTTTTCTCATATTGAATCAGAGAATTAATGATCTTCTTTGAAACTTGAAGACAACAGAAAAATTTGATATTTTCAAAGTTCTTAATTGTGATTAGTTGAATTTGGAGTCTTTCTCACATATTTACAATATCATGAGGTAAGAAAAATTGACGAGAGCAGTATCCGATCGAGCATAGACAAATATAAACTACATAAGCACAAAGATATCTTGATTCAACATAAAGTTTCACACATCTTTTTACTTAGAGTCGTAACAACGAATCATGAATAGTTTTTGCCGTACGCTCTCAATCACGCAGAGAAGTCGATCATTATTTTTGTATTGATCGTGGTAAATTCTTTAGAATATTACTCACTGAAACACTTCGTTTAGACTTACAGTCAAATTTTAAATGATCTCGAGCATTTAGATAAGGTTTTTGAATAGCATGTAAATGAAGATGATCGATTGAATTGTAGGGCGGAAGATGGAAGCACAAAACAAATATTGAATCATTGCTTTCATTGAAATTTTGCGAGTACAAGCGAAGTTGTTCCATGGCAACCTGTGTATACAATGATGTGAAAACAATATCATGAAAACAAAATTATAAGTTATACTGAGTGCATATGCTCCAACAATGGTTGATGAGCATCGTTTAATTTTGAAACATCTTTTATGTGTTCTATTGGTACGACGAGTAAATGTAGACGTGCAGCAGGTGTTCTTGGCGTGAACACGACACAATGGTTATCTTTATGTAAGAGTCTATTGGATAATGATTGTCCCCGAGCAATGTGACAGAAAAGGCAATCAATTACTTGTCTTGTTGCTCTATCGTAGACCACACCTTTTTTTGTGATCTTATTCGTAGGTTGTGTTGTTATCATATCTGTCCACCAGGAAACTATTTCACCGAGTTCTCAGTACACACAATGAATAAAAGAATCTTAAAAAATAGAGAAAACGTCACATCGGTCAAAGACTCATTCATGAAAATGTTCAAGAGATCATGATGCATTCTTCTTGCACTTGAAA